GAAGCTTATCTTACATGTATCTTTAGCAGTGCATTCATCATGAAAGTATCATCTACCTAATATTAAAAAAATTGAAATCATCACATAAGTGCTCTTAAATGTGACCTAATTGGAATGACTTTTTTTTTTAAGTTGTTTCAAAAGTAGTTTATTTAGGGGTTCCATTTTCATTCCTCAAGTGGTTTTTGCCATACACTGACATGAATAAGCCATGGATTTACCTGTGTTCCCCTTCCTGATCCCCCCTCCTGCCTCCCTCTCCATCCCTTCCCTCTGGGTCTTCCCAGTGCATCAGCCCTGTGCACTGGAATGACTTAGAATGCATGTTGAAAATGCATATTTCAAGGTTCCCTCTGAGCATTCTTGAGCAAGAATGTCTTGGGTAGGTAGGGTGTGGACATCTGCACATTATGAGCTATTCAATTGTTCCTAATGCCAATGAAAGTATGAGGCCACTTCTTAGTGCCCGCCTCCCCAATTCTGGGCTCCTACACAACTGCACAAGTGATATATTGCCCTACTTTGCAGGCATTTCAAGAAATAACTAGCTGATCTATCATTGCATCCACTGTAAAAATGCTGAGAAGAAGTTCTGTGTTATATTAAATCACTTACAATGATTCCCAGAAAAAAAAGAATCCATTTTCAGTATCAGTGATTGTTCTTTAGCTTTATTTGTGTTTAACTATCATAGTATAAACCATAGTATAAGAGAGGTGTTCTCTTTATGGAGGATTGCAAGTATTAATAATTCAGTCATGTCTGACTCTTTACCCCCACATGGACTGTAGCCTATAAGGGTCCTCTGTCCTTGGGACTCTCTAGACAAGAATACTGGAGTGGGTTGCCATTCCCTTCTCGAGTGGATCTTCTAGATGCAGGGATCAAACCCAAGTGTCCCGCATTGCAGGCCAATTCTTTACCATCTAAGCCACCAGGGAAAACGGCGCTGTTTTTGTGTCCACCTTTAGTGAAGAGGATGCTGGTGGATATTGCTGTCTGAGCTTCCTTCCTATCACTACTTCATGTGTCCCTTGACTGATGTTTTGTTTGTTGCTTTCCCTCTTTCATCTTCTACTTTCTGCCTTGTCTTTTTATTTGATGTAGCTGTTATATACCATCTTAGACATTTAGTAGAACAATGTGGTAAATAAACCTATGTGAATGTGTGTATAGTGGAATTTGGCAAATGGCATATTTTTCTCTTGAGAAACAAACAAAGGAGATTTGAAGCCTTATCTGAAAAATGTTGTCTTTTTAGGAATGTATAAGAAATCCTCATCTGGTATTAATTCAGTAACATTTAGCCCAGCTTTTCTTATAATTTACTTTTAAAACAATGTGTGAAAATGGTCAAGAATACTAGAAATTACCTGCTGAGATTCTGACCAGATCAGTGTGTGTGTGTGTCTGCTTTTGCCTTCCCCTAGATGTGTGTGTTTAGGTGCTGTGATCCTCTCCCTATATTCTGTAACTTTACTTTGGAAATTGTGAAAACAGAGTTTTAACTCAGAAAAATCTATAGCTAGAAAAACAAACTGAATGCTAAAAAGTATTTTTTTCTGGAAATATAATGTGTGTTTACACATAATCATCACAGGATCTCTGAAGTTGATCTCCCCTTTCTTAACCACCCGCTTTCTGAATAAGTACATGTGATAGTGCAAGAAAATCTTAGCTATCATGGCCAAGCTTCCAGTTGCCTTAAACAAAAGGAACTGATTTGAGAAATTGTGTTTGCAGGAATTAGTAAAGGGCCCATACTGCAGGGAATAGGCTAAGTCCTAACTGAGCCTTGATGCTTGGAGCAGAGAAAAAACAAAATTCAATGAGGGAGACCACTTTTTCTGCCAAATGTTTGAATAAGGAAGATAAGTAGAGAAGGAGATGTAAGAACAAAGGTTTTGCAGGTGAAATAGAACCACCACGGCGCGTGTTCCTGAAGTGGTTTAGGGTGTGAAGACAGAATCAGTTAACAAGAGAAGTGAGTTTTAAAAACCTACTGTCCAGCAAACTCCTGGTGGCCCAATGGTTAATACTCAGTGCTTAAAAAGCCATCGACCTGAGTTCAGTCCCTGGTTGGGGAGCTAAGATCCCGCCAGTCACATGGCAAGGCCAAAAAAAAAAAAAAAAACCTTATTGTCCACTACTGTAATCTCACATGGGAGTTACTTTAGGATAAGTTCTGCTAAAGACTCTTAGTTTGAAGAAATAAGAGGGAACAGGGGTCTCTGTTTCAAACTCAGTGATCTGATCCTGAAACACTCTTGCCACACCAAGGCAGACAATTCCTAGAACCTAGAAGTCATTGTACCCCAGATCTATTTCTAATCTGAGGAACTTTCACATCTCTGTCACATTTTTGTCTGTAAAAGAGAGCAAAGTAGTCACGGGATTTAGATTTGACCTATGTGTAATCAATATATAGTTAAAAAGTAGAACAAAAAGAGTGAAATCTTTAAAAAACTTCAAAGGATTACCAACAATTAGGCCAAAAAGAAATGGGGTTGATATATATGATTAGGGTTTTTACATAGTTTAGGAAGTTGGGTAATTGAAAGGGTTTGCTCAAGTTTCTGACTGTTAGTGAGGATTAAAATATCCTTTAAATTGAAATTAAATATTGATTTGGCTTAATAGTAATTGCTAAATTCCCTACCTACTTCAATTTGACTTTATACAATTTATGGTCACCATCTCTGTCTCAGATTTCCTTCTAATGAAACGAAAGTAATAATTCATGTCACGCACTTTTAAGGTTCCTCCTGAGCAGTGTAATCACATATATTTCCAGCTCAGGTACACGATTCTGTATGATTCATAAATAGAAATATTAAAATTTGGATACCCTGCTGTTAATATGCCAAGTCTGCATATTATTTACTTACATATTTATTATTTCTACTCCTCTCCCGTCAACACACACTAGAATGGATGCATCTATCAGATGAGGGACTTTAACCATCCTGATAAACTGCTAAATCACCAGTGCCCAGAACAGTACCTGGGCATAAAAGATACTCCATAAATATCTCTTGAATAAATTAATAGGAAGCAGGCAGTTAGAGCATGTATAAATCAGATTGTACTGCTGTTGACAGTGATTGAAATCCAGGAGATAAAAAACAAGTAAAAGGTGTGTGTATATGTGTGTGTGTGTGTGAGATCAGAAAAAGCTGAGGAAGGAATAAAAGAAGGCAAGCCAATCATACCATATTACTCTATCAGGTTAAATTTATATGATCCTTCCCAAATTCTAGCATCGCTATTTCTTGCATTCTCTTTCTTAAATTCTCTCATCCCATAGTTTATCTTCAGGGGCCTTCTCCTTTTAGACACTAAATTACAGCCTATCTCTTCTGCACAAAGACACGGCTCCAGCAAAAATGGCATCTCTCTTGCCTGGATCAGTTTTTCTCTTTTTACCAGATGATCGCCATCAACATATTAATACACACCCCAAACTTTCTAAAAACCTACTCTTGGCTCCTGTTCTCTGTCCATCTGCTACCTGATTCCTCTGTTCTAATTTATAGCAAAACTGGTATTGAGTGATCTCTACCTGAAATATTTGATTTTCCCCATTTTCTCTTTTATTTAATTCAAACAGGTTTTCACCCATTCACTGAAACTACTCATGTCAAGGTCACCAGGTTGTTCAACTCAATGATCAAAATTCACTGTTGATCTAATTATGCCTTCGGAACATTTGACCCAGCTGATTATCCCCTCATCCTTGAACATTTTCTTGTTGGCTTCCTGGACTCCATTTTTCTTGTTTTCCTCTCACCAGTTGCTCTTACCATCAGTTCGCCGGTTCCTTCTCACAGTTCTGGCCTTTGGCTTAATCCCTAAACTCTTCCTCTTCTCTACTCACAGCCCCTCCCCTGGCAACCCAATTCTGTCATGCATACTCTGATAGCTCTCTAATTAATGTCTTGAGTCTAGACCTCTCTGCTAAGCTTCTGAACTCCAAATTCATGTATCTAAATCAACAACTCCAATAGAATATCTATTAAGTAAATTAACTTCAACATGTGCAAAAATGAAAAATGAACTCCTGGCCTTGCCCACTAGCATTTTAAAGTTCCTGCCAACTACACCCCCCTTGTGTCAATGAATTGTAATTCTTCCAGTTGCTTGGACCAAAAATCTTGCCACTGGCTTTACCTGCTCTCTTTCTCGCAACCCCACATCAAATCTGTCAGCCAATTCTCTTGCTTTTATTTTCAAAATATATCCCTAACCTGACCTTTCTGTTTTACCACTTGACCTGCTACTTCTCTGATCCAATCTACCACCATCTCTTACCTGGAATATATTGTGATGGCTTTCCAACTAGTCTTTTTGCTTCCATATTTATCTTCCTTACTATCTATTTTTATACAAAGGTGGAAAGATTATTTTAAGACTTTGAATCAACACTCATTGCTCTAGTCCAATCTTCTCAGTGATTTCTTTTGTTACTCAGGGGAGGAAAAGTTATAGTGGTCAACGACCACTGTACTCTAGCTCTTCAATTATTCCATGCTTTTTTCCCTGCCACTCAGCCCATCCATCATGCTGTTCCAGCCATCAGCCTCTCTATGTGCTTCTAACTGACCAGCTGTTCATCCACCTCATTACATCTATCTGGAACACTCTACATAGAGGTCTTCTTTCAGATGAGATGCTTCAGTGAGACCTTCCCTGACCACTATGTTTAAAATTGTCTTCATATCCTCACCTACCTCCTATTGTTCTTCCCTGCTTTATTTTTCTGCATTTACTTACCACTTTCTAATATACAATATAACTTCTATATAATCTTGTTATTGGTCTCCTCTCTCTAGAAACCAAGCAGGAAGGATGTTCTTCCTCTTTAGTCTAACTTCAGAGTCAATGTGATGCTTAGCACATAGTAAATAATATTTGTTGAATGTATGAACAAATGAATGAATAAGTGAATAAACAAATGAGTGAGTGAATAAGATGTTATTTAGAAGTTTCAACTCAGGAGCCACAATGTAAATGATGATTGATACCGAAGTGTATAGGCAGAGTATATAAAGCAAACGTAAGTATTCAGAGAATCAATAGGGAAACTCATGAACATCAAATGAGTAAAGGATGTTGGAAATGTCAGGAGTTTCACAAGAAGGATTTGGGGAGGGTGGGTGCTCTGTTACAAGTCCGGTCTTCTTAATCCAAATGGAGAGGTGGGAGGAGGGAACTGTGCTTCTGCCGTCACCTAAAGTCAAAAGAGAGGAACTTCATCAGGAGTGCTCATAGCAGTTGCTATACACCTGATAAGCCTCCAAGTTTGAGAGTAGGTTGAATGAGTGTTCAGTCATGCCTGACTCTTTCTGATCCCATAATCTGTAGCCCGCCAGGCTCCTTTGTCAATGGGATTCTCCAGGCAAGAATATTGGAGTGGGTTGCCGTTCCCTTCTCCAGGGGATCTTCCTGCCCAGGGATCAAACCTGGGTCTCCCATATTGCAGGCAGATTCCTTACTGTTTACAGGGAACTAATTGTTCACTGATCAATATAAAGAGAAGAGATTTTCGCTATTTATCTAAGGAATGGTCCTCTAAGAGCATCTGTATAAAGGGAGTTATCAAAAAACAAACAGGATTAGGACTTCCCTGGTGACCCCGTGGTTAAAACTCCATGCTTCTACCGCAGAAAGCACAGGTTCGTTCCCTGGTAGGGGAACTAAGCTCCTTCATGCCAAGTGTAGCGTCAAGTCTAAGGACAATGTGTTTACTGTTTCCCAAAGAAGCTTCCAAAAACCTACAGAAGCATCTAGCAGGGAGTCAAGGGTAAATACCTGACAGACATAAAGAGCTGAAGCTCCCAACCCTATCCCATGCACCTGTCTGCTTTCTCTGACTCTACACCTGCTGGTGTTCTAAGCCACAGGGAGCAAGGGGTAGAAGAAGGAGAAACGTCGTGCAGAGAAAGAGAAAGGAAAGACACAAAGACACACTCAGAGCAATGGCACAGCCCAGAGTAGAACGTAAGATCAAGGTCAGGGTTTGATTTGCCTTTGAGACCGGAAGAAACAAAGCTATCAGTTAAAGCTATTCATGACTCTGTGACCATAACAGGGACCAGAAAATTCATGGCTACTTGATCTATGTTCTTTCAGAGACTGAGGCTAGGGAAAATGAAGACACCCTCGTTTGATTTAAATATACAGTGGGAAATAAAAATAAGTTTCTCTTAATGAGTAGACATGCATTAGACTTAGTTCAACATTTATTACAGGAAGATGAGATGCAGGCAGAACATATACTTCAGTACAGGATTATCCTTGAAAATAGCAAATATTCACCTTCTAACCTTGACCTCCTAACAACCCTTGGACCCTCATAGCTCATTATCATGCTGGAAATGATGATTCTTTAAGAATACTAGAGTTCCTAGAGTTTAGAAATATCATTATTCTTTAAAGTATTTCTTTTCTCAAATCTTGTTCTTTGCTATTTATTACTTTAAGATATGAGAATAGGGAATTAACTGTGTCTATGCACTTTTTGTGAGATAATTTAAAAAGTAATTAACTGGTGATATATATAGTGGGGGGCTTCCCTGGTGGCTCAAGTGTAAAGAATCTGCCTGCCAATGCAGGATGTGCAGGTCAATCCCTGAGTTGGGAAGATCCCCCCAGAGAAAGAAACGGCAGCTCTTTCCGGTAGTCTTGCCTCAGAAATCCTACTGATGGAGAAGCCTGAAGGGTTATAGTCCATGGGGTCACAAAGAATCAGACACGACTTAGCAAACACACACAGGCGCACTGACAGCATAGTTCTAGAATTCACAAGGTCATTCACAAGACTAAGTCTATATAGCAAAGACAATGCTAAGAATAAAATGGAGAACTTACAGAAGTTTGTATCAATAATTTTATAAATTATATAGTATTTGAAACAGTGTAACATTAGCACAAGGATAAACAAAGAGAGCACTGAAAAACAAATAGGAGTCCAGAGAAATGTTGCACATATCTGGTCATCTGACTTAGAATAAAAGTGGCATGATGCAGCAGTGAGAAAGGACAGTATTTACAGTAAGTGCCGCTGTATCGATTGGTTATCTACATGTGAAAAAAACAAACCTTGATTCTTACCCTAGTCCATACATAAAATGAATTCCAGGTGAATTGCAAGTCTAAATATGAACGGTAAAGTAACACATTTACTAGAATATAAAAAAAAAGGGATATCTTCATGTTCTTTAGGTGGGCAAAAATTTCTTAACAAAACACACAAAATGTTAACTCTGGAGCAAATTATTGTTACGTGAGGCTACATTAAAATAAAGGAATTCCACTTTACAGAAGGCATCGCTAAGAGACTAAAAAGGTGGAAAAGACCTTTATTAAGGTCTTTAGAGGCCTTAAAGAAAAATGTCTTTAGTGGGAAAAGACATTTGTAGTATCTGACAGAGGATTCATTGTCAAAATATATAAAGAACTCCTACAAATCAATACAAGAAAGACACGTAACAAAATAGAAAAAGTGGCGAAAGCCTTGATCGAGCCCTTCAGAAAACATAAAAATGATTAGTTGCTGTTAAAAGATGTTATCTCATTGATGATCAAGGAAATATAAATTAAAACCAAATGAAATTCCAGTTAAGTACTTAGCAGAAAAGTTTAAAAGCAAACAAACTACCAGTAAAAAGCAGTGGGATGATATAAAACCTTGGAGCTTCAGTACTGGTAAGCGCATCATTTGGTGAATCACTTCAGAAGTTGTTTTGAAGCATCCCTAAAGTATAGCGAATGTATTGGGTTAGAAATCAGGATTGTATTTTTCAGTGGGTTGAGGAGGTGGGTGGTGATGGGCAGGGAGTACAAAGAGCTTCCCTGAATGCTGATAATGTGTTTAATCTCTTTAGCTTGGAAGTTACAGAAAGTGTTCATTTGTGTGAAATCGGGTCAAGCTATATATCTACAGTTTGGAAGATTTTTTGTGTTTATTGAACTGAAGTGATATATCTACAGTTTGGAAGATTTTTTTTGTTTATATATGAATAAAATTATTTAATTTAGAATGCTTATCTTATCACAGAGCAGAAACCCAAATAGTCAATGTAATTGACAAGAGACCAGAAAGTATATGTGTTACCATACTAAAAACTTCAGCTTGGCTGGCTTACCACTTTATATTCTATTTTTGCTTTTGTTGTGTTTCAATAAGAACAAAAATCCAGTGAGCTTTGCTTCCATGTTTAATGTTTCATCAGTTTGTCATCCTACAGAGATTGTCATAAAAATATGACTTGACCTGATATTATCTACAACTATCTGGAACATATTTTTTCCAGTACTTGAATTTAAGCTTATGGTAGATGTAAGACATAATCTCAGATTCAGTGATTTGTAACTGATATCTAGTCAATAAAAGAAAAAACATCTATGTCATGAGTAATGTTTATGTGAACCTAAGACGCTCCAAGACTTTTGGGAATCCAACTAAATTAGAAGTGTTATCAGTGATGTCATTGTTTTAGAAATTACTTACCCCTGTATTATTTTTAAAAGTTAATTATACAAAAGAATTTCAAACAATTCATGAGTTTATAAAGCAAAACATTGCATTTCTAAATGTATGTACTCCAAACATTTTTATTTCTAAACTTATTTTGCCTTCATTTATTACTTAATTTTTTATAAACAGATAAATTTATTTCTGTATACAGTTGTAAATATGGTATTTGTATTTAAAAAAAAAAACCTTTACAGAAAGAAAATAAACTATATCCTCACTTTGAAACTCAGTAACCTGGATATTTGGCTTCACGGTAAGGGGTGGAATGGGTTGGGATCCAGGCAACTTTCAAGGTCTCAGAATTATAGAAATGTGGGCAGAATAATAGAGCTCTGCTTTGCTTATTTTTACCTAGTGACATTCTGCTAGAGTCAAGGCACTCTTGTATTATTTGTTTTGTCACTTAACAATATGACTTAATGACTTTGTCAATACAGAACTCTACCTCATTCTTGCCAACTATTGCACCAAACTCCATAGACCCACTGGTTCAGGCTTGTGCCTTTTAAGCTTCAGTAGATAACACCAAACTGTCCTCTGAAAGTAATCCCCTCCTCAACTAAGATTATGAGAATCTCTAAGATGGCTCTCCATGATCTCTACATCCTGATATTCACACACTTCTGTAATTCTCTCCCCTTGATTAGGCGCTGGATGTATTGACTCACTTTTAACAAACAGAATATTTCAGTGATGCGTGCGTGCGTGCTAAGTTGATTCAGTCATGTCTGACTCTTTGCAACGTGGGGGCTCTAGTCTGCTAGGCACCTCTGTCCGTAGAATTTCCCATGCAAGAATACCGGAGTGGGTTCTCATGCTCTCCTCCAGGGATTCTTCCTGACCCAGGATCGAACCTGTGTCTCTTACGTCTTCTGCGCTGGCAGGAAGATTGATACTGCGAGGGCCACCTGGGAAACCCATTTCAGTGATAGGATGTTATAAATAGACTGTGGCTTCCATCTCTCTGTCTTTCTCCTTTTTGCACCGGGGCAATCAAGATGCTGTATTACCCCTTGGAGAAACCCATATGCCCTGGCAAGGAACTGAGACCCTCAGTCCAGTCAATCACAATGAACTGAAGGATCTAAATGTGTGAGTGAGCTTAGAATTGGACCCTTCAGTTCACTTGTTGGTTTTGAGATTAACTGTAGCCCCAGCCAAGAGTTTGCAACCTCCTGAGAGTCCTTGAGCCAGAAACAATGGGTCAAGCACCTCCCAGATCCCTAACCACAGAAAATGTGACGTAATGAGTATTTGTTGTTAAGAATTACTCTTTTAGTATGATTTGTTACATAGTAAGCTTTCATTATAACACCTTGCTGAGCCTTAATTTTCATTCATCTAGTTTTCTGCTAATTTAGTGTGAATACTAGTGATATTGATGTCTATATTTGTGTGTACAAGTATGTGTATGTGTGAATTGCTTTTTCAAGTCCTTTGCTCATTTTTCTACTGGTCTGTTTGTCTTTTTTCACTTATCTGTAGAATTTCTAATGTATTTAATGATTAATGCTTTGTCAGAGATGATGCATATATTTTTTATCCTTTTAACAATATATAATTTATAATTCACGTGCAGTCAACAATACAGATTATTTACCTTGTTGCTTTTAGCTTTATATTAGAATTAGAAAATCATTGCAACTCTAATATTTTTAATATTTTCCTGCATTTTCTTCTGAAAGCTTTGG